GAATAACTTTGAACCGCTCACGCACACATGATGTAAACGGCTCCAGTAAGAACGCCCCAATGCAGGAAATGTCGACCTTATCGCGAAACTTGTCACCTTCCACGCACCAGAATGAGATGTAATCTCAAGGGCACCACCATGTGACCTCTTCCTATCCTACAGCGCATAGGGCACAACATAATGCATACCATTGTAAACAAAGTGAAGACGGAACTGTACGATCAATCCCACTTGAATTATGTAAAAAAGGGCCACTACGACCGCCGTCCTCAATTTCACAACATGTAGGACCAATAGCAAGTTAAGTGTACGGTGCTCACATGCAGTTGTCTGTACCTCATGATCCTTCTAGATAAGATCTCATTATAAAGTGACAAGAAAGTGCAGCTAAGATGGGGTTCCTTGCCTTATCGTGGAACTCATTGTGAGTTTCCCTTTGTTTCCCTTCAATGTTTTCTTCGTATTGTCTTCTTTCAAATTTCTAGTGCTTTTACTGCACTTGTCGCAGTTTCATTATGTTTTCATATATACCTGAGAGAATTGAGTGGTGAGCAAAAATAGGACCTCAGGCAGGAATCGAACCCGAGTTCCATCCATACCGGAGACGCGTGCTACTACCACTACACCGTCAAGGCACATTTGCGCCACCATTTTTTCAACATCTCTATGTTAGCTATCAGCCACCAACCTTCAACGGGTTTGGTCGGGTATGCGATTTCGCTTTATAAACCCAATTGAGCCGACAACCATTGTGATAAGTAATACTCCAAATTTCTCATGTTTTTACTGCATTTTTCGCAGTGTTACGATGTTTCATAGGTACCTAAGAGAATTTAGTTGTGAGTATTGAATCGCATATACGACCAAACCCTTAAAGGCTGGTGGCTGACAGCCACCACAGAGATGTTGAAGAATGGGTGGTGGCGCGAATGTACCTTGGTGGTGTAGTGATAGCACGCGCTCCCGGTATGGATGAAACGCGGGTTGACTCCCGCCTGAAGTCGTATTTTTGCTCACCACTCAATTCTTTCAGGTATGTATGTCTTCTTTTTTGAATATATGCTTAGGACAGTTCTGCGATCCAATTGCAGATGATTTATTCGTTGTTCTTCACAGCTGATCTCTTAGAAAATTTACTGATCGTTCGTTTAATGTAAATTTTTTGGTCAGTGTTAAGAAACACTCCTTATTTGTGCTATCACTGCACGAATCACTTGTTCTTGGAATTCATTTATAGTGTGTATAAAGTTTTAGCTGCTCAACTTTGATACTAGCAGAAGTAAGGGTTAATAATGAGGCAGCTATTGCCACCAAACCTGCCAATATGATCATATTTAACCTCTACACAGTCTCCAGCTACTACTCTATAGCAAATAATTGACAAGTGCTTTGTCATTTGTTCAATACAAAAGGAGATAGGCAAATGTCTTTAATTGTCAAGCCAACAGTTACAGTACTCAAATCTCACCCAGCAGATACCAAATAAACACTGGCTTCCGTTTGCGAGAGATCAAATTAGCTTATCCAGAAACGGTTCACGTCACTAAATGGTACCAGAAATCAAGTAATAAAACATACCGATTCATTACCTTCCCTCTGATCCTGGACATATAGAAAGGGAGCCTGTGAGAAACATAGTTCCAACAGCCGTCAGTGTGCGCACGAGATTAGAAATAGGGATTCATGAACTTAGTGCGGCAGCTATCCTTTTTAATGACCACGAATCGCAAGCTCTTTGGGCACACGGAATAGGACTAGAGAAAATAGCAAAGTTTCCAAACGAAAATTCATTGAGATTGAGATCCTGTATATTTTGTACTTTATCAAACAGGCTAGTCTAGAGGATTCATCCTCAGCTATCAAAGTGCCATCAAACATTCTAAGACGCTCGGTAATTCATCAGCGCTGGTATTACTGTCTATGCATTGCACATAACTGCGTGATTTGTCTTAACGATATAGACGGTGATTTATGAATTCGGTTGCGGTGTACCTGATTTCTTAGAGAACATACGCTGAAAAATATATTGCGAAACGAGTACGCCACTTCGTATCATAAAAGAGCACCTAGTTGGAAAATCTAAAGTGAAACAAAACAGATCATTTCATTATGATTTGAGCCAACATGTCATGTGGTCTGGTAAGGGCTCTTGTACAGCCCGAGACACGTGTTTCGTCCTTACAGACTCATCAGCCGGGCAGAACCCGTCGTCTGTCGATCTTTTCATAGTCAGTTCTCTCGGGAGTGTCACACTCCTTAATAAAGCACTCGAAGGAAAGGTATAATATGATAAAAACACCAGCCAGCTAGCAATCGAGTGCGAAAACACTCTGTGTTAGGTGAATGTTTCACCTGACATATAGTGTAAAGCGTAGGTCGTCGATAACTATATATAAGGAGTGTGACGCTCCCGAGAGAACTGACTATGAAAAGATCGACAGACGACGGGTTCTGCCCGGCTGATGAGTCTGTAAGGACAAAACACGTGTCTCGGGCTGTACAAGAGCCCTTACCAGACCACATGACATGTTGGCTCAAATAATAATGAAAGGATCTGTTGAAATTTGAGCGTGGTCTTAATAGCGCACTCGAAGGAAAGGTATAATATGATAAAAATACCAGCAGCTAGCAATCGAGTGCGAAAACACTGTGTTAGGTGAATGTTTCACCTGACATAGACTGTAAAGCGTAGGTCGCCGATAACTATACATAAGGAGTGTGACGCTCCCGAGAGAACTGACTATGAAAAGATCGACAGACGACGGGTTCTGCCCGACTGATGAGTCTGTAAGGACAAAACACGTGTCTCGGGCTGTACAAGAGCCCTTACCAGACCACATGACATGTTGGCTCAAATAATAATGAAAGGATCTGTTGAAATTTGAGCGTGGTCTTAATAGCGCACTCGAAGGAAAGGTATAATATGATAAAAATACCAGCCAGCTAGCAATCGAGTGCGAAAACACTCTGTGTTAGGTGAATGTTTCACCTGACATAGACTGTAAAGCGTAGGTCGCCGATAACTATACATAAGGAGTGTGACGCTCCCGAGAGAACTGACTATGAAAAGATCGACAGACGACGGGTTCTGCCCGGCTGATGAGTCTGTTAAGGACGAAACACGTGTCTCGGGCTGTACAAGAGCCCTTACCAGACCACATGACATGTTGGCTCAAATAATAATGAAAGGATCTATTGAAATTTGAGCGTGGTCTTAATAAAGCACTCGAAGGAAAGTTATAATATGAAACAAAAACACTCAACCAAGGCAAAACACACTGGACATGAAGGCACAATGGAGAAGATTTTGGCGCAGCTATCATCATTCTCACACAGCAATTAGAAGCATGTGTGTGTTCAAAAAAGCTGCTTATTATGCGGGTGTGAAATCTATGTATTTAGCCTTTCCTTCTTGGCTTATGAAAGTGTTTGGCTGAGTCGATTGCAGCCATTTCATTCTGTTAAGCTGACGAAGGAGACGAGACCGCTGATACACCAGAAGAGTTGTTTTGAATAAATCGTGTTTTATAAACTTGTATCTGTTCAGAGATAAAAGGCTGCTTGACACAATGTGGTGGAGAAGCCAAAAGCCTTAGGTGGTAGGCGCAAAAAGCGGACTACTTCAGCCAGATTTTATCGTTATCATATATAATGGGTTCTGTGATTGTCATTATTTGAGAGCAATGTTTGGTATGAAACAATTCAATGCTACGAAGAGGATGATGGATCTGAGTGGTTGGTAGACGAAAATCGTTGAAGCCTTGCTCAAATATTGTCACCTGAAATTCTCTGTACGATTCGTTTGGAACTGTGAAAACGATCTAAGTAACAACGACCAGTAGAAAGCCAGCAGTATTTAGAGGACAGAAAAAGGCGAAGTGTAAAGAGTTGTGGCCAAAATTTCGTGCCTATTGCCGAATTCTGCACTTGTTCAAAATTGTCAACGAACTGATAATTATATAAAACACAAGAAAGTCCGGCCGAAGTATTATGGAAGATAAAAAAGCTGTCGAATGGAGACGCGTAATTCAATTTAAAAGACACAAGCTCCACTCCGGTCACTACAGTGTTCGGTATTTATGGAAGAGTATAGCCAGGGATCGGCTGAACCGACGGGGACGGTGCAACTGATGAGCCCTGATGGGACGAAACAGGCGCCTGTTAGCACTCAGACATTAATGGCTCAAAATATGTTATATTCTTAACAGAATATATTATCAAGAGGATGCTGAGGAGATGTGAAAAGTATGTTTCAGTAGGCAGCTGTTCACTAGTGTCTCCAATAGTTATGAATAAGTGATGCCACTAAGCAGACTTCATTGTAGAACATGAGGTGAATCAGTCACGTCACAGCTTGCAAATGAAACTACGCAGAGCGTGCGAGAAGTTCATTTACTTAGGGTTGAACGAGAAGTTTTGGGAAGTTTCTAAAAGATTGTTTATATGCGCAAATTGACAACAAGAATAATGACAACAACTTTTCGAAGTGTAGACCACTATTTTCCACGATTTTGTACTATCGTTTTGCAAGATTGCGGATCCGGTGGGCTTTTTGTGGACAACCAAACTGATGCAACTTTTGATAACGGCTTGCTGCGAAACACCAAGCTCTTCAACCAAATCACGAGTGCTCGATGACGGCCCAACATTCAAAGCGGCTCGCGAGTCATTTTCATCTAAAATAGATTGTCGGCCAGAACGAAACTCGTCTTCGAGATATAAATTGTCTCCTTTGAATTGCTTAGACCATCTGATCACAGCCGACTTTGTCGCTGAACCGCCAACATCTTCCTCACTAATCTGTTCAGCGATTTTGAGACGAATCATAAAATCGTCGAACATACTGTTCAATAGGCACTTTGGAGCTGAAATTCATAAATTAGATAATATGTGCGAAACTGGGTTTATGAAGCGTAATCACATACCCGACCAAACCTGTTAAAGGTTGGTGGCTGATAGCTAACATATAGATGTTGAAAAATGAGTGGTGGCGCAAATGTGCCTCGGTGGTATAGTGGTAGAGCACGAGTCCCGGAATAGAATGAAATGCGGGTTCGATTCCCGCCTGAGGCTGTGTTTTTGCTCACCACTCAGTTCTCTTAGGTATATATGGAGGACCATAATACTGCGAAAAATGCAGTAAATATACTAGAAATTTCGAATATGTACAAAACTATAGATAAAAAACAACACAAAGATGCCAAAAAATGGAACTTTGAAAAATTTCCCAAAACTTTATACTCATTTTAACAGCACAGCGGCGCATTGAGTAACCACTGAATGCCTACTAATATATTTGTTAATTGTGTTATTGCTACACCGACAAACATAGATAACGTTAACACTGCCCTATGAGAGGAACCACATTCAAAAAGCATGAAGAGAATAGCTCCCGCTTGAGGCACATCTCAGACATGCAAGTTCTTGTGCACTTTCAAAATTAAAAGATTGTACTTGGAAGTACAGTCTGATTTGACAGAGTAAAGACAATCGAAGAAATGTAGTCACAAAATATTAATGTTCTAATAAATCAGATAATTCACGACCTCAAAAGGAACCTTTTCAATCACGACTGCTGATTATCGAGGTACTTATGTATCATTACAGAATGAAATAGTATAACCTCTATTAATGGTCATTCCGGGGGTTCCATGGCCGAGTGGTTGTCATGCTCGTCGCGGCGCATGTGCAGCCGAGCTCCATGCTCCATCACTCGCCAATAGTCAAAAATAACGCCCTATGGAGCGCCACAGCCAGGATACCCTCGCACTGGAAGGAGACATGCTCGACCAGTATTCTACGTCATTCACAAAGAAGACGAAAAACGAAACGAGTGTTAGAAGTAATGGGATCGACATAATTAAATAACTATTATGCTCATAACAATTGAAGCAATTCATGCCGTACTTTGAAGACCTTACGACCCTGCAACCATTGTGAAATAATTTTTAACGAACTTCGCAGTACATCGAGAATGCAACTGTAGTGCTCCAAAATATTCTCAACGGTGTATCCTTCATTCTCTTCGCTAAACCCTTCCTGTAACTACGGCATGCTTCTATTAACAACACTGTTCAACGATTGAAACCAATCTGGCTCGAAGTGTACATACAGTTCGTCTCTGCGTCACACTCAAAGAGATTAAGAGCGTTGTCAAAACCGCGGTAAGTACTACGGTGCGATGTGGATGCCGGCTGCCGGCGAGCGCTCACAGACTTACTTGGCTGAGGGTCGCTCGCAACTTACTTGGCTGAGGGTCGCTCGCGATCAAGAAGGCGAGACCCCCATGAAGAGGCCCGTGCATTGCATTTTCGCATAGGCTGACCCGTGTGGCAACTTCGTGTTAGAGTTGGCCAACAGCAGAAGGGAGAAGAAGAAGATTGAGCTCCTTTCTTATTTCTCTTCTCCTCCTTCTTCTTCTCCCTTCTTCTTCCAGCTAAATTTTTGCGTGTGGGGCTGCATTTGCGGCGACCCTGATAAAACAGGAAGTGCTGGGGTAAGCGGTGTTGGACAGGCATGCCCATTGCCTGGCGAGGCGATTATTACCCAAAGAATTGTGGTTTGATTGAATAAGCGACAATTTTTCGTTACCGCTTCCGCTATGCAAGCTATTCACGAGTTATGAATTATTTCGTTCTTAGGTGATAGATGCTACGATTACCCTCCGGCAGAAATATAAAGTGTACTAACCATCTCCTAATATATCATATCTTTTGTTTCGACTGTTTTCTAAAGACCACAGCTCAAACTTCAATATGCCTGATAATTAATTTTGGTCTTAAGAAAACACTCGAAACGCAAGATATGTTATATTACATATACTAGCCAAGAGCAAACGAGTGTACAACACACTGTGTTCGGTGACGATTTCACTGGACATAGAGTGTAACATGTTCGTCGATGCTAACTCTTAGTGCGCGGACTGGAGCACCCACACAGGATTGGTAAAAAAGACGAAAGGCTAACTGCCCGACTGACGAGATCGCAGATTGGAACTCGTGTATCGGGCTCTATAAGTCAGCCTTTTTTAACAAACCATTGACATGTGTGGCTCAAAAATAATTATCAGGCATATACCCTAATAGTGGCTATTTCATTATTATCATGTATTTCCTGCAGATACTTTTTCCTGTGGTTGTTGTCATTTCAACCGAATCTCTTGAACGTTCAGTTTGAGGCTTCTCAAGAAGTTATACTGTCGGTCTGCTGCTAAACACAATAATATCGCTTTCCAGTATACATCGTAGAAGCATTTTTAATGCACTTTCATCGTATCGTCTGTTTTGCAGCTTTTTATGCATCCTACTATCGGCTGTTTTGATTAATTCTTTATGCTCACATTTGTTATAGACGATACGGCTTCTGTTTTCGGTTAAGAGAGACTGTTGGCCATCGGTTCGTATATAAGTAAGTCAAGGTTCAGACGAACCTGATCTCTTTTGGGCAGAGGCTCACTGACATTCGTCTCTGCGCAATAGCCAGCTGATTTCGTGTAGGCCGATTCCGTGTCGTCCAATATTTCAGTTAGCCCTACAACTTCGCATCTACTCGCTCAACTACATATCGCCGGCTTATACTGTATTGTCCACTATTGCTATGAACAATTATAATCCATGCGTCAGATGCTCCTCGTAAAAGTCCCGCGTGGCAAACTCGTGCAAAGTCGAGCATTCTACTTTGAGATAGTAGCTTTCGGTGCTATAGACTAATCCGAAGCTATCCACTGAGAAACCAATACATAAAGCATGAATTTGTGTTTAAAATAACTCACTGATTATATGAGGTTGGAAGGAAAGTTGTAGTGCACATGAAGACAGTTGAATATTTATTCATGAATTCCAAACAAAACAATAATAACTATCTTTTCAAAACAAAGCCATCGTTTCCTACGACTTTCTGCCATCCCTTCGCCAAGAAGTCGACCATTCCTTCGACTCGAATCGAAAAACTTTCGACATGCTTCTTCAGCTTCATCGAATGATCTAAATCGACGAGCCTTTCAAAAGGTCTTGCTTTAGTCGGACTGAGGCCAAAGTCGTACGGAACGCAATTTGGACTGCAGACGGAATGCTGCAGAATCCCGACTCCGTCCACTTCCTCAAACTGTTTTTTCGCCTTTCTCGTAGTGTGCGGTCTGGCATTGTCTTGCTGCATCAAAACTCGCTTTTGATTGACCACAACTGGGCACTTCTCCTTAAGCTTATCGCAGACTCGGTCTAACTGCTGGCAATCAGAGCTCGCAATTGCTGAACTTACCGTTCGGAAATGAGTCAAGATGCACGATTCCTTCGAAAATCACCAAACACAGATCATGACCTTCTTGTCGTATCGGTTGTGCTTCGAGACTGACGGCGTAGCTTGTCCCATGTGAACCAACTGATCTCTCTATTGTGGTTGACCAGGTACATCAACTTCTTGCCGAAGTCATAATGCGCTTCCAAAATCACCAATCAATGGACTGTTGAGAGCTGAAAGAAATTTCGACTCTTTTGGAGGCTTGTGCTTCAGTGAGTTTACGCGGAATTTGTCGTGGCTTCTTGTGGACCAAATTAAGCTGGTGGATATAGAGTTAGCACAGTTATGGGAGAAATATCAAGTTTGGTTGTGAATTTGCCAGCACTTGATAACGGTTCATTTTCCAAAGCAGCAATCATTTGATCATCTTTGTTCAACTTTGTTGGACGTATTGAACGATGCTTGTCTTCGAGGTCAAGACCTGCGGCTTGATATTGCTTGATATGCGGCATTAAAGCGTTGAAACCAGTTGTCAGAAGTAGATTTTCTTGTTGTGCCTTTCCCTTCAACCTCGTTGATTTTCGACTGCAGCTCGCTGTGAAGACGTCTTCTCCAATAATAATGCAATAAAACACAAACTCCGATTGCATCGTCGGACATAGCGGATGCCTGTAACAAAGTGAGAGTAAAGAAGAATAACATCTCGCTAGGCCATCAATGGGAAAATTCCACGTAAGAAACTATAATATTCCTTTCCATGTTGCACATCGGAAGCTATCTCATGCTCATTAAAGTGTCCTAAACATTCTTTTCAACCGTAATAGTCTTTACTGATCAAGCCGTGTGCGAAGCTGACGATAAATGTACTTATACGCCCTACGTTTCGGCGTCCTCGTTTTCTTCGAAGCCGATGAAATCGAGTCGACAGTTGTAAAAAAAACGGCCGCTCAGGTATGCAGTGTGAATATAACTTAGCCAAAAAATTGTTGCTCTCTCTTTGTGTATTCGCCTGATAATTTGGATTACTAGATAGTCTTTCAGAATACGGCATTATTTGAGTCTAATCAATTCTTATTGTAATCAATACAATTAAGAAAATGCATCTTGAATTTTCAAGCATTCAACGCTGTCAAGCATCGTGGAATTTGTTGAATTATATCTGACCTGTAAAGTGGTTTTTCTCGCACTCACCGATGTACCAAATCAAGAATTTGATCCATTCAGATGGCGCTGATAAACGAGGAGGGAAAGTAAGCAAGAGAAGGATGGGCGTTCAGCAGATGTGAGACTATGAAGTTCTTATTAGCGTTTTCGATACAGTGATCGATCTAAAGTGATTTGTGTATCTTCTATCACTTGATTAGCTACATCGCTACTAATGGAGCGCAATAAGAAAAAATCAAGTGGGTGAAGGTGAAAATGACATGACATGGTGAAGAAGCGGTGACCGACACCAGCGCAAGGACCTGATAGCAGAAAAAAAATTGTTCATTTAATTCAGATTTGTAACGCTATGTTGACAATGAGTTTCGGCTCCGAAGACTTGAATATGGATTGAATAGCATATTTGAACGACAATTCCTCATAACATTTCATTGATGTTTGCAAGGTTGATAATTGCGCAAATGGGACTATAACCAGAGTTTTTCCACAGAAATAGATGTCCGCCCAGTTCGGAAAAGAACATCTCCTTTGCTTTGCTTAATTCAAAGCTCCTCAAATGGTCACTCCAACAGCAATCTGAGACTAATAGTTTTCAGCTGCTTTCAGGTCTCAAACACCTAGTTCATTATTACGGCGGGAATACCTGAGAGAGGAACTCGACATCTTATACGCCG